ACCAAGTATACAGGGTGAGGAAGAACTATTTAGGTAAAAACAAAGGCAGCATATGACCTCTGGTGGGAGATAATATCACTTGAATCCAGAGAGAAATGTAGAAGAGGTCTAGATCACCCTAAGCCTTATAAATGTAGTTTTAAAATCAAGATCCCACAAGGAAATGCTTAATAAAGAGCCTCCTAGGGGAAAGGATATTTACAGGAGTATAGGCATTAATGTGCTGTGGGGTCTTGGTAATAACAGAGAGTCATCACCACCCATAGTTTAAGGAGGAAGGAAGAGAGCTAGTGGAATCCATTGAGAACTAAGGGGTGTGTGGAGGTGAGGCTACCCACCATGGGCAGAGCGAATTCCTGCAGAAGCCCAGAAGCAGCAAGGGCAAACTATCTCCAAGCTCATCTCCTCACCCCTGCCTAAAGTCTCCACTGGGCATATTTTCTGAGTCATGTAGCAGTCCATAGCAGAAAAGAGAAAGTCGAACAGAAATAGGAAACCGAAGTCTATCATATTATTAAATTTTTAATATGCTAAGAAGATGGGACACTTTAGAAAGATGTTAATCAAAGTGGTATAATGGTGAAATTTCTCAGTTTAGGTATTTTCTGTTACAGAGTTTGTAAAAGGACCCATGGAATTAGAATAAGCATTCTCCCTCATATTAATATTCGGTGTGGTGAGGAGAGGAGTGTGTTTTTCGGGTTTGTGGCAAGTTTAAAAAAGACAAATTTATATATATTCAAGTATTAGATACAAGTAATAGCATTCAAATCTACATGTAATTAGTAAGGCTTGATTAGTCAATGGGGGAAAACAAAAACTCAGTCAATGGCCCAGGTGAACACGAAGGTTTGCATTTATGTTGTTTTTGATAAATGCAACATAGTGAATTACTTATTATAGCACTTCTAGGGCAAAATAAAAAGAATATACAAATTCACTGCCATTGAGTCAATTCTGACTCATAGTGACTCCTTAGGACAGGGTAGAACTGCCCCTTTTGGTTTCTAAGACTAACTCTTTATAGGAATAGAAAGCCTTGTCTTTCCCCCATTCTGCTCATAGTCTGTGAATTCCTACCAAATGACTGGGCAGGAATATGCAAATGTGAGGTGTGTGTGACCCACCAAAGAAATTGGAAAGCTTGCTAGTAATGCAAATAAGAACCTGGCACCTTTGGTGTGGAACCATACAAATAGGATATATGGAACTGCAACATGGAGATTGGTCACGTTTACCATCATGCTGGATTTTAAAGGAGCCCACTGAAAAGAGGAAAGTGGGGAATCTCACACTCATTAAGATACAAGAGTGGGGTGCATCACTTGAACCTGAGATCCCTGCACGACACATCTTCTTTCCGAAAAACAGAGGAGCTGTGTGACACCAGGAATGGCAATAGAAGTGGGAGAAAAGTGACAGCAACAGGAGAGCCAGGGACAGTGCGGTGGCTTCCAGGTCCTTAGGCTGAGAAAGCTGAGTGCCTTTGGGCAGGACCCTTGCTAGCGGAGTGGGACGACCTTTCTATGGACACTTAATTTGGTGAGCTCATTTTGTTGGCCCATTGAGCTATAGCTGAGCACTACAGGTTGAGGCTAATTGACAAGAGTAGGTACTTCCCAGCAGAATTAAAAGGGTTTTGCAACACTTATCAACATTTTCCAAACACTTATCTCTGCAGGGCAGAGGCCAAGGAGCCTTGCAGATGCAATGAAGTGGACCAGAGAGAGGTATGTCTGTGGGCATTGCTGAGAAAAGACTGCTTTGACAAACAAAAAATAACAACAAAAAACCACCTGTATCTCATACTCTTGTTTCTCTTCATATCATATAAATCTTTCAGCTTTTTCTAAAGATTTCCATGGAGAGGAACAAGGAAGAGTTCAGAACTAATTTTTTTCAGTCCTGCTCTGCAGGACTGAAAAAACAAACAAACCTGTATCTTGAGCATCTTTTATCCTGAACTGTAACCTATTAACTTCTCTAAATGAACTCATATTCATATTTAATGTATTGTCTGTGAGTTCCTTGTGGACATAGCAAAGCATTATTGAACTAGAATGTCATTGGAAAAATGACTGATGTCAGAAATGGTGAAAAGGTTGGAAAGCTGAGGTATGTCTGACATCATAGGAACCAGCCTGAGGTTGATGCTAATGGTGATTTGCCTCCTCTCCCCTTGAGAAGTTAGAGAAGGTTACAGGTCAACCCCAAGCCATGCTGACATTGGGTTAGTATTGAAAGTTTTTATAAAAGGATTTGTCGGGCTCAGATGATTTGTGTGTGTGTGTGTGTGTGTGTGTGTGTGTGTGTGTGTGTGTGTGTGTGTTAGGTGATGTTTCTAACAATTCTTCAAAGAGTGGGAGTGAGAGGATTGTGGAGAGAAACAGCCATTTGGTTTTTATTCAGATAAGGGGAGTTGCTAATGCTCCCTTTTGCCTAAAGCTTAGTACTAGAAATCCTAACCTTTCAGAAAAAGACAGAATACATATTGTGCATCTATTCTAAAGGTGAAGATTCTTCCTTTATAATGTACAGGTAAGAATGGAATGAAAAATCAGAAAGTTTTCCACATCAGTGGCCTGATACCTGCTATATGACACACACCACCTGAGGGAGGTTTTGTAACATTGTCCGTCTCGAAGGTCTCCTGCTAATCAGCTGAATCCAAATCTTTGAGTAAAGCCCAGAGCTCTCCATTGTTAAAAGGTTCCTTTTGTGATGTTTGGACATGTAGGCCATGCTTAGCAACTACTACAGATATAATTCAAACTCCAAACACTGTTTATGTGAAAAGTCCAGCTAACTAAAGTTCTAGTGATAACCTAATGAAGTTCTTCCACTTATAACACTCTCTTACTCTTGATCCTCAGTTTCAAGTTTAAGTGCATAGATATGAAGTTCCTCTTCTAAAAGTGAAATGACTAAATGGATAGCCATCACTTTGCAGAGCCTGTGGGTTTGCTTTTGGTAATGGCCTTTATTAGATACCATTTAAAAAAAATAAACTTATTGCAATCAAGTTGAGTCCAATTCATAGCAGCCCTACAGGCTGGGAAAGCACTTCCCCTGTGGGTTTCCAAGACTAATTCTTTAAGGGAGTAGGTAGCCTTGTCTTTCTCCTGAGGAGCGGCTGGTGGTTTCAAATTGCTGACCTTTCAGTTAGCAGCCCAACGTGTAGCCTACTGCATCACCAGGACTTAGGATGCCTTATTTTAAATGTGATCAATTATGATGATGATAATGATGATGGATAGATTTAAGTGGCTTCTGAAGTATTCTGAACACCTAGGCTGGGGATGGTTACATGATGAGAACTAACTAAATGAAATTATTTTATTATTGACTTACTATAGAAAAGGCATGGTCTGGTGCTTTTGGTTAGAAGTAATTGCAATCTCTTTCAGCGAAGGCTGCAATGAAATGTCAATCACTGTCAATAACTAGCATCCTAAAATCAACCCAAATCCTGCATCTCAACAGCTTTAATTTCTTCAATTTTTTTTCCTGCCATCAAATATTCATCTGTGCCTGGTGTCTTAGAAGAGGTTTTGTCTAAGCCTGGCCTTGATTTGTGCTGAAGACTCCTTCTGATATGTATGCTATTTCAATCTTTCTTGTCCTATAGGCGGTCTCCCTTTTTTTTTTTTTCACTAACCCAGAGGCAAACAATCCATTGTATTAATCTTGTTCTACAAATCAATCGCTGGAAATTTTATGCTTACTTTCCTCTACTCACCCTCCTTTGATAATAGAAACCACAAAGATGGGCATGAGGCATTACCATGTGTTTCTATGGAAATGCCTCTTAGGTTCTTTGCTCTACATTTACACTCCTGCAATATTATCATTTTCTTTATAAAAAGGCAAAGTGGACTGAGTACAAATAACCACTTCTACCTCATCCTAAAATTCGTTTGTGAAGCAAAACCTGTTTGAAATATTGTATATTTTGTACCTGGAAGCAAAAGAGATTACCGTAGATGAATAATAAATCTTGATGAAATTCTGAAGAATAGAAAGTAGGGAGGTTGAAAACAACAGGAACTGGAAACCACACACAAATGATAATAAAAAGGCATGACCACACATGGCCTTGCTATCAGAGTAGTTATTTGGAGTCTAAGGCCAAAGAGGACAAGGAATGAGACTGTGGCCCTGGTGATTAACAGCTAAAGCCACGACTTTGTCCAAAGGTTTTCATTGAAAATCATCTGCTTTCCTACAGGGTGTGAGTGCATAGAAAATTAAAGTTCAACAATTTCAGGTTGCTGAACATAGAGAGAAAGAAGGAGGGGAAGCTTCCAAACTATAAACAAGGTTTGCTGCATTCTATTCTCTACAATATTTGTTTATCTCTAAGGAAAGCTTCTGTTACCAAAATGCATAGCCCTGCATGGGAATTACTCCCAGAAAACAAGAAAATACACCAGGAATCACCAAGTTGAGAAAGAAAGAGCCCAATTCTAAACATTGAAAGTGAACCTATGAAAAAATATTTGATAGAGCTAGCAGACTCGGATTAAAATGAGATTATTTGGATTGTTTATCACTTCCATAAAAAACAGTGGAGAAAAAATGAAAATTTAAAAGAAACAGATTATTTAAATATCAAACTAAACTAGTTTGATAAGGAAATTAGTGAGCTAGACAACCGTGCCAAATTTTTCACAGAACACAGAGAAAAAGAACAAAATAATGGAAGAGTAATGTAAAAACCAAGACTTAATGAAACTCGATTCAGAATACTCAAAATCCATTTAAATCCATATACACCAGGAAAATTCAAAGATATCAATCTGAAGAATAAGTCCAACTCCACTTAACATCTAAAGATGAGATCCCACAAGATACTCTGAAAGGGACACATCTAAAGTATTCCCAAGAAAAAGAGCAGCTTCCCTGGAGAAGAGGAAAAAGAATCATATTAACATCAGACTTCTCCTTGACTACAACTCATACTGAAAGATAATGAAACAAATATAGTAAATTGCTGAGAAAAACCTCATCTATAGTAAATTTTATTTTAATTTAAGTAGCAAAACTTTATGAATACCCTCAACATCATTCCAGACGGACTGGAGTGCTGGTAAACGGAGTTATAAAATATTACTTCATGACTTGCTAATGGGCAACAATAAGCACATAGAGCAGCTTTGAGCAAGCTGGTTATTGATTCCAAAAGGAATGGCTGTAAGACTGAGGAGAGGGGAAAACTTTCCATAGACCCACAGGACTGAGGACCAAAAGTAAAGCCCACATTTTTAATAGTCCTTCCAGGTGGAATGAGAAACCCAACCCTAACCAAAACTTGTGTTCAATAAAATTAAACATGTTTTGAATGGAAATTACCTGGATTGCTTGTGTCTCTAGAACAACAAATTATTTCTACTGTTTTCTATACACAGTATTTGATATTCTGAAAAAAATAAACCATGCACAGAAGAAAAGAAATATTAAAACCTAAGAGAAAAGTAAAACAAAACAGGAAACACAGTAGACTTATAGAACTGTACAATTGCTTCCATCATCAGTTTCCAAATGTACTTTTTCTTCCAGGACACCTTGACATCATCTCCCTTGTACCTCACAACCACCTCTGAACCCACCCCGCCCGCCATCCCCTCAACCCTCAATCTACTACTTGCTGTCCCTATAGTTTCATCAATCCTGGATTTCATTTGTTGAAAAACAGAAAAGCATATAACACAACTTCAAGAGTGTGACCCCCTGGGAGAGGAGGAGGTGTGGAAAGAGGAGGGGAGAGGCAACAAACCGAGAACCAAGGGAACAAGAGTTCTAAAATCAATGACAATGAGGAGGTAGAATCCCTCCTGGGGTCTGATCAAGTGCAATGTAGTCAAGAGGACTTAGGGAGCACCGAATGAAGGTCAAACATGATAGTAGGACAGGAGGAAAGTTAAAGGAAATAGAGAATTAGGAGGCAAAAGAGATTTATAGGGGTTTAAATATAAGCACATATATAAGTAAATATATTCATACATAACAATAAGGATATAGGTCTTTGCACATATATTGATCTCTTAAGTATTAAGGTAGGAGACAGACATTGAGCCTCTACTCAAGGTCTCCATCAATGCAAGAACTCTTTGTTCTAATAATTTGGCATTCTGTGATGCTCACCTTGCCAACACGATCACTGAGGACAAAATGGGTTCATAAGCAAATTGGTGAAGACAGCTGATAGTGCCAGTCTATTAGACAGTATAACATCAGGGGGCTTAAAGCCATGAAAATAAACAAGCGTCCATCTAGCAGAGAAGCAACAAAGCCCACATGAAAGAAGCACACCAGCCTGTGTGATCATAAGGTGTCCGAGGGATCGGGTATCAGGCATCATAACAAATAATCATATTGATGTGAAAGAGGAGGGTTGGCGTGGAGACCCAAAGCCCATCTGTAGACAATTGGACATCCCTTCACAGAAGGGTCACAAGGAAGAAACAAGTCAACCAGGGTGCAGTATAGCACCCACAAAAACATGTAACGTTCCTCTAGTTCTTTAATGATCCCCCCCCACACACACAATCATGACCTAGCCCTGGACACACAGAATCCAGGACAGATAAACCCCTCAGGAATAGCGATGGCAGTAGTGATACCATGAGAGTAGGGGGAAGGTCAGTGGAGAAGAGGGAGTAAAGAGGAACTGATCAAAATGATTAATGTATAACACCCACCCCCAGGGGGACAAACAACAGAAATGTGGGTGAAGGGAGACAATGGACTGTGTAAGATATGAAAATAACAATAATTTATCATTTATCAAGGGTTCATGAGAGTGGGAGGAGAGCAGAGGAAGTGGCAAAAAAGGAGCTAATACCAAGGGCTCAAGTAGAAAGAAAATGCTTTGAAAATTATGATGGCAACATTGGCATGAATGTGAATGATAGAATTGA